ACAAGAAGTTCCTTATGAGTACATTATCCCTTGAAAGAGAATTATCTATATAAGACCACAATATCGTATAGCCCCCATCTAACGGTACCCTCTGATATTCGGTATTTTGATGATTTTATCTGATTTTATCTTATATTCCATACTGATATTCTGATACTTTATACCTCGGAAAAGAATTATCAATATAGGTCCACGATATCGAATAGCCCCCATATAACGGTACCTTCTGATATTCGGTACATTGATGATTTTAGCCACATTTTCTAATGAAATGATCTGAAAATCCACACAAGAAGTTCCTTATGAGTACTTTATCCCTTGAAAGAGAATTATCTATATTGGTCCACGATATCGTATAGCCCCCATATAACGGTACCCCCCGATATTCGGTATTTTGATGATTTTAGCCACATTTTTCAACGGAATTGTCTGATATTCCACACAAGAAGTACCTTGTGGGTACTTTATATCTCGGAAGAGAATTATCTATATAGATCCACGATATCATATAGTCCCCATATAGCGGTACCCCCGACATTCGGTATTTTGATGATTTTACCCACATTTTTTACCGGAATTGTCTGATATTCCGCACAAGGAGTACCTGGTGGGTACTTTATACCTCGGAAGAGAATTATCTATATAGGTCCACGATATCGTATAGCCCCCATAAAACGTACCCCCCCCCCCCGATATTCGCTATTTTGATAATTTTACCCACATTTTTAAACGGAATTGTATGAAAATCCACACAAGGAGTACCTTGTGGGTACTTTATACCTCGGAAGAGAATTATCTATATAGGTCCACGACATCGTATAGCCCCCGTATAGCAGTACCCCCGATATTCGGTATTTTGATAATTTTACCCACATTTTTAAACGGAATTGTCTGAAAATCCACACAAGGAGTACCTTGTGGGTACTTTATACCTAGGAAGAGAATTATCTATATAGGTTAACAATATCGTATATCCTCCATATAACGGTACCCCCGATATTCGGTATTATGATGATTTTTGCCATATCTGCAAATCCACACAAGGAGTTCTTTGTGAACACTTCAACCCCTGAAAGGTAATTGTCTATATAGATCCGCAATATCGTATATCGCCCCATATATCGGCACCTTCCGATATTAGATATTTTAAAGATTTTAACAGAATTTTTTTTTAATTTTCTAATTCGTTCCAAATGGTGAGGGTATTCAAAGTTCGGCCCGGCCGAACTTAATGCTTTTTTACTTGTTGATTTTAAAAATTATATCCAAAGAGACTCTCAAAGCAAAGATTTAGTTACGTTTTGCTAGTGTGCGAGTGAAAGGATTATATCAACTTCTGCCATAAACATATTTTGCTGTTGTTATGTTATACATTATAGGTGTTATTGATATTTGAATTTCTTGCAAAGGGACTATGCAAATTAAACACTGTGAGCAACAGCTATTTTGCAATTAGGAGATTTGCAAGAAGGCACATATATTAAGGAGTTGATAAATTAAATTTTTAATCACAACTTCTGCAATAGACGCTCACCATATTGGCTAAACGTGGTTTCTTCTTATTGCAAGTAATGTAGGACTTTTTAAAATAATCTCTTTATTAACTTTTGACATTGATAAAAAGATTCATATTTAAAAAGTAACCTGGGTTCAGTCAGTTGGTGCAATGGTCATGGTGCAATAAAAAGGTGTTATAGAGCTACCAGCTTATTACCAGTTTTTTAACTTTTTACAGCCATTATGCTTGGAAATATGAATCAGCATAAAATTCTAAGTCGTTTTTAATATGCCCGCGGTCTTTAATAACATATACAATTTTAAGGTAAATGAATCGAGTTTTTATTCCAGATTTTAACAAGCATCGTGAGGGTTCTCTTAATAGAGCCATACTTTGCTCCCATAAAGCATGAGCGATGTTAACCACTTTTACGAAAATACATAATTTCAGAAAGACTTGGGTCCCGACATAATTTCCTGCTCCAACTGAACAAGTCTCTGAAAGTGAGCAAATCACAATATTCCCATCCCATCCCATCCCATCCCATTAAGAGGTATGGCTAGATTGTGAAAGTTATCTGGCTGAAATATATTCTATTATTTGTTTCAATTTTCAATAAAATATTTTGAAAAGCTATTCCATGAGAAGTGTGGGACATCGATCTTACGATTTTGTCCGGAACAATTAGCAGCAATTTTAAATCAATTTCATGGGAAACATCTAGATGCTCGTTTCCTGAATTCATTTCACTGGATAGTCCAAAACGAATTGATTAAATTCATTCAAATACGTTTTCAACTCTGATATAAACCCAAATGTATAGGAAAATATTTGTAATCATACCCAGAGAATTTTGTATCGTGATTCGACGACGAAGCAGGTTCAATATTACGAACTTCAGACGGCGACGTTCGGTGTAAATTGTACACTACACTAAGCCATTCGGATGCTTTTACTACAACTGGCAGATGATACTGAGTCAGAATTTCCCTTAGCATCACATATTCCGCGAAATTGCATGTATGTTGACGATGCTTCAGCAGGAGCTCACGACATCGAGACTGCATTGCCGGCGTGTCGAGTCCCCAGATGGAGAAATTATTGTGCATACTCCTGTTACTCTTGATACTGACATCGAAATGAGAATAGTTCAATCTCATTTGAAGAAATTTTGTGTGAATTTGGTGTTTGTATGAAAAATCTCAATCGTTTGGTAGTTCGGAGTTGTAAAGTCAGCATTTTCTTGAGAGAGAACAACTCTTGATCGTTCATTTACAAATACTGGCGTGGCGCAGGTCTATTTGATATAAAATCTCATCTATATAGGTCTTATCGGCTCACAAAAGGCAATGTATGTGTATTTCCTAATTTTGCGGCCGCATTGCATAAATTCATTGCTCGCCGTGGTTGTCCCCGTTCCATTTTTTGGATAATGAAACCGAGTCGCGGACGTCCGAACAGAGAACGAACGAAGAAGAACGTAGTTTTAAGACTCGATTAGTAATTGTTCTCTTTTTGTTTTATGTATGCCGATGAAATTATATTCGGAAGATGAACTCCTGAATGTTGATGATGGTATAAATACCTCGAAATGTCCCTCGCTCATACAACATTGTCGTCCGTGAGATTGCTGCTGTGAAAATCTCTGACCATTTCTCCGAATCAAATATAAGGGATCCATCTGCGGCCCTCGCATCTGACGAAGCGATGCAAACCGACATCGAGTCCACTTCTGTGGTTTCATCTTCGGCTCCGGTCCCTGTTGATTATCCTAAAATTGAATATTCGTGAACCGAGTCCGGATCTTCCAGTACATATGCGGCCCCGGTTGCCACCTCTAATTCGTTGGAAGAGTCGGCCGAAACTAACAGGTCCTAATCCACTCATGGAGATTCATCTGCGTCCTCCTACAAATGCCACCTTTGTGATCACATGCACCCGCTTGGTAAATGTTACTTCATGAATGTTGACATGCGGCGAAGAATTTTTATTAAGTTAAGTGATTGCTTCCGAAGCAAAAGAAATGATGATCACTGCACTCTTCTTCAAATCGATTCGAAGGCCGTGGTTAAACCCACAAGTAATCGTCGGCGTCCTCCGCATACGGACTATAAAAATCGTTCGCATCAAGGTCGGTACTATCGTCCGACAGAAAATGCTTCCCAATCGCAGGTAAGACTGCTCGGCTTGTTATCCCCCTAGTCTGGTATCTGCCTTTCCCCGACATTGTTAATCAAAGTAGATGCATTTGATGCGTCCCTCTATCGTGAGGGCGGTGTTAGACCAATGTAGTAGGCAAATTCTTACTTCTCGAATCGATGGTATCAAATCTGTAAAATCAGTGTATCCTCCATTTATGAGCGTAGTCAGCCCATTTCAATGGTTGCATTTGAAGAAGCGCGTACGCTTACAGCGGCAATCCCAGAATGCAAAAATACTTCCTTCTTGGTCGTCCTTTGGCAGATCCAGATTGTAATAGACTTGGTCGGGTGGCGTTTATAGTCGGGCCGGAAGTAAACGTGGCCTGTGTACACTATGTTAAGCCAACGAAGCTATAATCCATTGTTAACTACAAATATCAATTGTTAGACAAACTCGCGAATCATCAAAATACCGAATATCGGAAGGTTCTATTATACAAAAACGTGGACCTATACATACAATGTTTCGCCACTGGAGCTAGAATGCTTTATGACGTACAAATACCATTTTTTAGACAAATACGTGAAAAAAATTGGCTAAAATAATCAAAATTCCGAATATCGGGAGGTACAGTTATATGGCGGCTATAACAAAACGTCATTTTAATACCAACCATCAACCACAATAAAAATTGTTCTGCCAATTTTTTAAGCTCTACGTTAAATAATGTGGGCTGTACCGTGATTTCAACAGACGGACGGAAATCTTTAAATCAACTTAGAATTTTACGTTGATTATAAATATGTAGACATTCTCTGGCTGATAAATAACTATAAAGGACCCGGTTTTCGTATAGCCCCATGAAACTTTATCACCCGATATTTTGTAGTATAATAATTTCAAGACATTCCTTCAACGGTTTTTTTTTTTTTTGTGAATTTGCAAGTTGCTTCCATATGGTGGCTATTGGTGTAGTTCATGTTATTTGGACTCCTTGCTATTTATTTCAGATGACATACAAGGCACATTTCGAACGCTATAGACATTTTGCATTTGGATTCATAACGGACGAAACGGATAGAACCCTTTCTCTCAGAAATATGTAATATCAATTCTGCTTCTGACATATCACTATTAAAGAAATAATCCCTTACTATAGCCATAAACAGTTATGGTGAATAGTATGCACATTTCAAAACGAATAGGAAGTAATATATAACTGTAACGAATAGAATGAGTATACATTTTTTAAAGTAAAAACATGATACTCTTATCATAGATCCATATATTAATATTTACATAATACACGTTATCATCAAAGCGCTAAATTTATTAACGTATATATATTTTGTCGTTGTAGGTCAAAATTTGGTTCCAAAACCACAGATATAAATGTAAGAGACAAGCGAAAGAAAAGGCCATGGCGGAACAAAATTCACAAAATCAGGTAAATATACCTTATATATATACTATACAGTACATTAAAAACATAATGCATTGTACACTATGATTACTATTATAAAACGATTATATTATAAAAATACATAGACTTCATTGTAGTTGAAACTATATATTCCGTACTTTCAGACAGAGACAATTTTAAAGTATCTACGATGATATTTTTCCAGGTGAAGTTGTGATTGAAGTGTGAGTTTTGTAAAGTGTGAAGAAGTGTGAATTATTGTTTTAACTCACATCTTTTTCCCAGTTGTTGTCTAGTGGATAAGAAATTATATTATGTTTGAAGACAAAAAAAACGAAGACCGTAGGATATCGGATATAGCATATCGTTTGAATTTAGTCACATTTTTAAGGGATTCACATATCCTGTAGCAGAACATTGCCTATATAGAACAACAATATGCTATAGCTCTACCTTTTAAGGAATGTCCGTATATTCGTTATTTCGATAAATTGAACATTTTAAACGAATTTATTTATAATTTTGTCGACGATTTCAGCCACCATGGAATTGATTTCAATTTATTATGTGATACGGTAGTTGTTGATTTTAGTCACATTTTCCAATGAAGTTGTTAAAAAAACACAGTATATTGTACTTAAAAAGCAATGTATAAGCCATTCGAAGTTTAAAGTGGAACAAGTTTAAATATTGAATTCCCATACCTTTATGTTTAAATCTGATCTTAATGCTTATACCTTCCACCATACTATGAAGGGTATATTAATTTTGTTATTCCGTATGTAACTCCTCGATATATGTATTATGCCTGCAAAAAGTATATATATTCGTGATCAGTGTAAGATTTTATGTTGATCTAACCATGTCCGTCCGTGTATCTTCCGGTAGAATTCTCTTGTGTTAAAAATGGGCCTTATAGGACCACCTTTGGTGCATCCCAATATTAAACTTAATTTGTATTGTTTCAGATTTGTTATTAAGCAAAATGGCATATACTTCTAATAAGTTTAAAGAAACTTTTTTACTATTTTTTGTGTTAGAAATGCTAATCTAAAACATACACACTCAATCATTAAACCCGAAATTCTGCCGACAAAACATGGATATCTCTTAATCTGCGTGGGTGTTACGAAAACTTGATGTAAATGCTGAAAGAGTATACTGGAAAACCGTAAAAATAAATAATATATCTAAAAGTAAAATAAATTGAACATATATCACCTAAGCACACAATCAAAGAACAATCGCCCCAAAAATACAAAAATGTGTCAAATTTTTATAATAAAAATCTCAAATCTCGTTACAAAATTTATTAAAAAAATAAAAATTAGGGCTCCAAGTAGCTTGGATTTAATTACCGTGTAAAAACGAATACAACAGCTCTGGAGGATGTGTAGGAACAGCAATCTAACTTTGCCGCCACCGCAGAATAAGCCGGAGATTTCTTATTGAAACTTCAATGCAGTACAATGATGGCATACGACAGACAATGTAACGATATCAACGAAGTGAAAATGTTTGTAGGCAATTAAGAAATCGTATTCGAAATCAGTAAGCTTAATCCCATTATTGTAGTTTTTATAAAAACAACGTTTGTTTATTAGTGGAGAAAGATGTCAATGTTTACCCGGGGATAAGGCGGGGAATACCTAGGTTTCGGAAAGAGCCACGAATCCTCATCAGTTCCCTTGTTTACTCTATTAAAAAAATGGCAAAATACATTATGAATATTTCATATTGACTGTCTAGAGCTCAATTGGATAATTCCAATTTTTACACGCAAACTAATTTTCTCGCAAAACTTTAAACATTAATATCACATTGAAATTATAATTGTTGTAATCAGATACGCCATATACGAATCAATTAAATTTCCCACATCCTAAATAAACGTATAGAGCAATACAACAGGTTGTGACATTGATCAAGTACAGAATCATCAAATTCTTGTCGATTTAATTTCTTCGTCATAATTCATGCAATGTCTTTTACCATGAAGTGCACAATTACCAGTTGGTGCACAATTAACCCGAAATCGGTTGTAGATATATATGGGAGCTATATCCATATCTGACCCAATCTTGATAAAATTTGGCAGAGGTATTTTTGGTCGGTATATGATATCTGGTACCAAATATTATTTTTTTTGAATGTATATTACGAATGTGAGGCACTTAAACACCAAATCGGATGAAACATATATAGGGGAGCTATAGCTATATCTGAAGCGATTTTCATTTATTTCAATTTTATGTAGACTGAATTCGGTCGGATGTGCCAAAATTTAATATATCCACCTTTCTATGTAGGAGGTTATAAAAAGGTATCTAATTTGGGTCTTTTGGAGAAAAGAACTTGAACAATTATTTTTTAATATTTTTTCTTCTACACTTGTGTTTGATGGCATGTTGTGATACACTGAAAATTAAAGATATAAAATTATAAAAGCATAGATATTAAAACTCAATAAAAATTCCTCTTTAACTCTATGTTAGTTATAATTAGTTGGTTTAATTTTGAACCCACTAAAAATAAAAATGTTTTGTTATATAACTTTCTATAAATTTAAAAGTCTCATTTAATTTGCAAAAAGTTTAATTTGTCTTGCAAGAGGTTTCACTTCAAATGCATAAGGTTTCATTTCCGCTGCAAAAGGTTTAATTTCCTCTGCAAAGGTTTCAATTCCCTGCAAAATATTTCATTCCCACTGCAGGAAGTTTCATTTCAATTGCAAAACGTTGCATTTAAACTGAAAATGCTATATATCTTCAACCGATTTCAGGTTAGTTGTGCACCAAATAGCCAATATCAGTCCGAATGACCGGAAATAAATAAAAATCGTTTCAGATATAGCTATAGCTCCCATATATATGTTTCATCCGATTTGGTGTTTAAGTACCTCATATTTGGTACAATATATCAGATACAGCCCAGAAATACCTCTGCCAAATTTTATCAAGATTGGTTCAGATATGGATATAGATAGGTCCCATATATATCTACAACCGATTTTGGGTTAATTGTGCACCAACTGGTAATTGTGCACTTCATGGTAAAAGACATTGCATGAATTATGACGAAGAAATTAAATCGACAAGGATTTGATGATTCTGTACTGGATCAATGTCACAACCTGTTGTATTGTTCTATATTTTGATTTAGGATGTGGAAAATTTGATTGATCCGCATATGTCCGTGCAAGTATACCTTTTGTATGTACCATAAGATTCCTCGTTCTATCAGTTCCTCGGCTAAAACGTATCCCAGCTGCATAGTGTATATCAGGACGTCACACAAAGGCTTCAATGTTTAGAGACATCTCTCCTAACTGGCCATCTTAGAGTATTTTGAACCATCAATCAATCAATAAAAAAACGAATATTAATCGCATTAACAGTATATATATATATATATATATATATATATATATATATATATATATATATATATATATATATATATATATATATATATATATATATATGTATGTATATATATATATATATATATATTTAGAGGTAAAAATAATAATTTATTTCGTAATATTTACTTTAATATGGTAAATTCGACCAATTCGGAAAATATCAAAATATTTGTGCACCATTAATATTTGGTTTTTTCCCCTAACCCGCAAATACAACGCTGTAAATCTTCAATGCTGCATGTTTTCTGTAGAAAGTGGAGAATAACGCATTAACAAAACACAAAAAAAGTTAAACACGTGCCTAAACAGCATTCTTTTTATTTTTTGTCTCTTCGTGAATGCTATTATACAATTGCCCAAAAGTAATAAATACGCCATCACAATCACCCGATTGAAAATTTGTCGGATCATTTGTTTTCGTGTGAAGCCAGTTTCTTCGAAAAATGATCTTAAAAAGAGGCTTCAAGAAGAATGGAATAAAAAGAATGCCAAGTAGCCTTTCAGAAGTAATTAAAAATAAGGGCTATTCTACAAGATATTATTTTTTCGTTTCTATATATTTTTTTTAATACTTGTCTAGAATATAACTTAAAAACCGAATATTAATGGCATTCACTGTATATATATATATATATATATATATATATATATATATATATATATATATATATATATATATATATATATATATATATATGATCGACATATATATTATACATATGTGATCGACACTTTGGTATTTTTTAGTGCCAACCTTGCTTCCGGAGATATTGGCGGAAATTGTGCGCTGAAAATGAAGCGAGGAACCTCATTTTGTAACCATTCTTGGGTGGCGCGTGCTTAGTTCGATGGTACTGAGTCCTGTTGCAATTGCAAGGTCTGCGGCCAAAATTTTTGCGGCCCACTCACACCATTACCATGGCCGCACTTGAGTTCTGATCGCCAACCGAAGGTGCACATTTTCAACTGACCTCTTTGGACAACGGATGTTTTCTCATCGGAGAACACCAAATTCGACAGTTCACCACTTTCGGCCAAGCGAAGCAACTCTTTAGCTCTTTTGAGTCTATTCTCTTTCTGTTGCGGTGTAGGTTCTTGCCCTTTTTGGAATTTCAATGGCTTTACACCGAGCTCATTTCTCAATATTTTCCGAATGGAATATTGCAATATGTTCACCTCACGAGCCATTTTTGGCCACTATGACGTGGGTTTCGTTCAAATCACTTCTTTACTTTTCGAACCATTTCTGCTGATGTTGCTGTTTTCTTCCGTCCACTTCCTTGACGTCGGGCTACGCTACCAGTATCACGGTAACAAACGATGGTACGTGACACAAAAAAATTATTCACATTTAAATGCTGGAGTGGTCTAACGCAAGGCAATTGTGGGTTTCCAGCCAAATATAAGGAAATCACACTATCACGCTTGAATTCCATCGGAAATAACCTTTTTGCTATATCTATATCCAGAAGAATATATTGAATTCGGTTCAGATTTGGATATAGCTCCCCTACATATCTTCGGTTTACTTTATATATTTGATGCACCCAACTCGATATGTATGTCGATTCCAATAAAATTCGGACAGAGAGACGAAGTT